CTAGCGCCGTAGGAAACTCACGAGTGCCGAGGCCATGGAGCTGACATGTGACAAACTAATACTTCTTATATTTACGGAAGCTCGCGTGACAAGGGCCGTTCTCGCATAGCCGTCAACTCAATTCAGGGACAAGATAACGATTCGCACGCTGGACGCTGCAGTACAGGCTCTGAGGCTAAGGGGCCTGACCCAGACACCGCAGGACAGCGTGCTTTGCATGGTCCCCCCTGCTTGGCTTCTTTGGGGCCCCAGCCTACGGGCGGGCAGATCCCCCCGCCCCCCTCCCGCGCACGCACCCCCGGGCCAACGGCTGCGGACCCAGGGGGTATCACTACACAAGGGCGTCTGGTACCCAGCTCTCACGCCACAGAGTGCAACATTCGTCGTTTGCTGTTTTCCAGCAAGAAGTTTTGCAGCAAGCGGCTCCGCAAGTCTCGGAGACCTTCTCCGTGAGTGAGCTGGAAGCCACGAGCCTCCTCGAGCAGGAGGCCAAGCTCGGCCTCGAGACCTGCCCGAAGAGAGACGGCCTGTGGCACAGCCTATAGCTCTTTACCGACGGCTCGCTTCCCCCAAGGGGAGGGGAGGGGGGCGTGGGCAGTGGTTGTGCCTGGCAAGGAGAAGGGAGGTGAGTCTTGTCTCGAAGCTCTCAGGGGCGACATTGAGAGCGCCGCGAGCATGGGACTTGTGGCCGCGAGAAGCACCAGCACGACAACAGAGTGCATTGGTTTAACATATGCTCTGTTTTGGCTGGTAGGAAGTCGGCCAGGGTGCAGGGTCACCGTCTCGACGGACTCTATGCTGGCCCTAGGCGCTGTTGAGGGCTCATGTGTGCCAGCTTTTGACAAGCCCCTCGCTCTCTTCCCCTTTGCTGGGTCCAATGTCCACGCGGACCTTCGGCGCGTCAAGACCCGCAGGGGCCACGCGTGAAATGCCTTGGCAAGCAACGTAGCCAAGGCGACGGCGTTAAATACGTGATCCCCTCCCCCAGCTCCCTTCAGAGTGCCTCGTCAGGGCCTGCAGATTTCAGCGTTGCCAGCAGTGGGAGTGGCTTCTGGCACGTGGGCCTGATGCCTTTGCCTATCCTTCCCTCTATAATTCCGAAGGCGCTGCAGTCCTGGAGGGAGAGATGCCATCCTTCGGCGTGCAGGAGTGCGACCGTGCCAGCCTGGGGGAATAGCCCTCCACGGTGGAGCTCAAGGTCCAAGTCCAATCGCGAGCTGCCACATTCACTCCCCAGAGCGCGCGTGGGCAATGCCGCAGAGGCACGCGCGCCAGCGCCAGGTTTCATCGACTCAACTTGGTGGAATAACGATTTCGCGATCTAGGAGTGGCCCTTATGGGCGCACGAGAAAGCAAGAACGAACAACGGTTGAAAAGGGGGCCTCAGGCCAGGCTCACCTTCGGTTTTCGTCTGGCCACGACGGTTTCAACCTTGGGACCGAACTGTGGGTTGATTCGTGCGTGCCCCACGGCAAAGTCAAAGGCAAGGATGTTCCAAGTCAAGCACTTTGTGGTCCTGCATGCCCCCCTAGGGCGCTCACAATAAAATGCGCAGATCCAGGAGTCATGTGCAACATCTGCGTGGCTCGCGCTCCCCGCCGTCGTCGCCCCCTGGCTGTTCGGACGCGCTTCTGGTCCGAGCTCAGCGCCCTGGCCAACAAGTGGCCCTTTGGGATCGTCTTGGTCGATGGGAACTGTGCCCTTGGGTCTATGACGTCTCCCATGGTGGAGGAGGAAGGGTTCAGAGAAGAGCAGAGAGCGGCGAGCTCATGCGTGCATTTTTGCTTGAGCAAAAGCTCGCCGCCGCCAACGCACTTACTGCTGCAGGTGATGGGTCTACTTTCGCCCCGAAAGGCGCTGGGCCATCTCGCCTGGACTGCATTCCTCTGGCGCATCCTTTCGCTGCCCACGTTAGCGATGCACAGAATCTGCATGGGCTGGAGGTTTTGAGAGAACGCGGAGATCATTTTCTCGTGATGGCTTTACTTGAGTTGTCCCAGGTTTCTTCGATTGCCAAAGCTGGATCCCCTCCCCTGGATCGTCGGGAGCTGTCCGATCCCCAAAGCGTGCAGGAATTTCATAGCAAAGGGGAACCACGGGCTGTTTTCACCCCCAGTCGACGTAACATCCTTCTGGGGAATACGATATGCAAGCTACACCATCGGTTCATGAGAAGGTTCCTCAACACCACCATTGCCGCAGGCTTCCAGGACTCCCGGTGCGTGGCATAGAAGGAAGGAGCATTGATGTCGTTACTCATTTTGCTGCGTTCAGGATGTGTGCCTAGTTTGCCGACAAGAGACCATCTTTTACGTTGAGCATCGACCTCGAAACAACTTTTTACACGGTGATTCGCCAGGCGGTGTTGCGCCTCCCATCGGAGGAGGCTGATTCTCAGAAGGCCGTGTCTAGCTTGCCTGTGCACCCTGCCATAGACTTTGCTGTGCGCAACCTTGTCTCCTCTCCTATTGTGGACTCCCTGGTTACGGCCCAACACTTATACGCGTTGTTTTTGCCAAACTCAGGCTCTGGGTTTCTGCAGGTTCCGTGGGGCCCAGGGTTTCATGCGGCCCATGCTGGGCTGCAAACCTGGGGCCGTTCCTGCCGCGGACGTTTGTAATCTCGGGTTCGCGCCCATTCTCCTGAACGTTCAGAGGTCTTGGATTGAAGCCTGCTGATGACACTCCTCTCTGCTTCGCCCAGCCTCATGACCATGAGCATCCACGGGACATGGGCGCCTTCGTGGGTGATTTCAGGGTCGTCGGCTCCCTGTCCCCCCCCCTGCGCTCTCGCAAGGGCGCGCGTCAGCGGCTGCTGTCGTAGTCGAGCGCGAGGTATTCGAGGCTAGCCTGCCTTTGAACGTCGGCAAGACATTTTGTCTTCTCCGCCCCGCAGGGCGTGGCGTCGAGGCCATAGAGAAGACTGCATGGGCCCAAGGGGCCTCAGTGCCGCTGCCTTCAAATGAATGAGTTGGGATTACGCGTGCCGTGCGGTGCCTCGGGGCCCTCCTGAACGGCAAAGGCTCCTTCTCCCCTGGGGTGGCCAACGGGCCGGCCCGTGCCAGGGCCGAAACCCGCCCCGTGCAACGGGCTCTGGGGAGTCGTGAAGCTATTCATGTGTGTAATAACATTCTGTACACTGGGGCCTATGGTTTATCGCCAATGTATTTCAATGTTGCCGTCTGGTCTCCGTTGTCTTGTCGGGTCTTGAACAATTTGCCTCACGCTCAGGTGTCTCTGTTTATGGGTTCTCTCGGGATGTCTTTAGGCAATCATGGAGAAGGTCAGCTTTCCCACTCCCAGGTACTTCTCCGTGCGAATCGCCTCGACGTCACCCAGGTCCCGCAAGTGGCCAGACTGAAATATCTTCCCGGGCTTTTGTCGCGAGCCCCGTCGGGGCTCCGCGCTGCCCTTTTTTTTGCTGGCCAAGGATGAGGGATGGACCTCCTTGCTCAGAGCCGACGTGCAGTGGATGAATCAATACAGCAAGAAGAAGGAGATCCCTGTGCAGGGGGCTCTGCATTGTTGGATTCCGATGTGTAGGGCTCGCCCTCGGTCTTTTAAGGCCCACTTCAGAAAAGGTTGCGTCTCGTGCTGTTTTCTGGCAGCATCGAGATGCTGAAGAGAGGCTTTGTTAGCAGCTGTGCGACACCTTGTTTTTGGGACCCCCCTGGGAAATGGAAGGTGTTTGACACGAGGCGGAAGGAGGTCTGGTCCCACATTTCGATTGCTACGAGTGCGGATTTGCTTCTGGCCCAGGCGGAGAACCGAACAAAAAGGTTTACCTGACAACCATGCCTCTTTTCCTGAGATGATCGTTTTCGGCCCCATGCTCGATATGCCGCCAAGGCAAAGCGTGATGGCTGCCACGGAAGATCCGACAGTGATGATAGAAACTGCCTCCAGCGAGCCAGTGCGTAGGACTATGGGTATCCAAGAGCTCCCTTGCAGCGCCACCCATTGCGTCCTTGATCTCAGGTAGAGCCTTGCGGTTAGCAGATCACACTTCTTGCACCGATAAGAGGCTATACTGTTCTCAACGTCCCCTTTGATAAGCTTGCCTCCTTCACCGTTCCATTGGCCATGGCTGGAGCTCTTGACCTCATCTGGGTGGCTGGGAGGCCCTCTTGGGGCGACCCCTCGGTCCTGGGGCCCCTTCGGCCCAACGGTGTCCTGAGGCGGCTTCGCTCCGTCTCGGCCCCTTGGGGGCGCCATGACCTGTCTCAATTGGAAGCCAAAATCGTGCGAGAAGGGAACCGGCTACAGAAGGCGGCTGCTGTTCTTCATGCCATTGCCGCGCTTCGTGGCACCGCTTTTGCTCTCGAGCTCCCAGCGCCGTCTCTCGTTTCCCCCCTCAGCCTGGGTGTATTTCAGAGCCTCGCCCGCCCCGACGCGAGGTTCGGAACCTCGGCCAACGGGGCGAGGGCCATGCTTTGTGCTGATGATGGGGAGGGTTGCAATTGTGTGAAGGAGAAGGATCTCACCTTTGCTCTCCTGCCTTGCCTCCCGTCATCTCTTCTATACCAGACGCCCTTGACGCGTTCATATGCAGCCATCCTGTGGAGGCCTTGGGGGAGCCTGACAGGGTCTGGTCCTGGGGCACTTGAAGCCCCTCCTCTCTCCGCCCCTCGTTCCTTGTCCCAGTTTGCTTGGATAAACAGCCATGTCACATGCCTTCAGACCCCGATTCCGATTCCGAGGAGGAGGACGGCGAGTGGGGAGGAGCAACACGGAATAGGAGGAGTGACCAGGACAGGAAGAAGGAGGCGACACAGCAGAGAGCTCCCTAAACGGCGCTCAGAAGGCTCCAAGGGGCCCCCAAGGGATCGGCAAAACGCCCTCAGGCAGCTCCCCCCCTTTCCCAGAGGGCCCCAAAGAGGCCACAAAGAGGCCCATAGCGAGCCCCAGTAGCTATTGCAACACCTTCCCGTCCCACTCCCCCTCCTCTTCTCTGCCTCTCTGTCTGTTTGTTTGTCTGTCTATCTATCTCTTTCTCTCTCTGTCTGTCTCCCCCTTCTACCCTTTTCCATCGCTCGTGCAGCTCATGGGCTTCGTTCCGTCAAAGACGCGACCTGTAACATGTCCCGGCCTAGCTGGATCTATGTGACGGTTCCCTGGAACCCTCGGGCCTGCGGACGAGCGTGTCACGTGTACGGCTCGCCAACGCCTGGGTGTGAGAACGGGCGCGCGTCATATTCGATTGAGGGTCCCCAAGGGGTCGGTACACAAAATGCTTCGCTGGTACGGTATGCAATCAATCTGTGTGAACTGCATGCGCACGACACTCTTCAGTCGCAGAGGAAGATGTCCTTGACGATGGCGGGATCGGCGCAGATGAAAGCGGCTGCACATGCCCTCCCCTGTCGATTCTCCAAATCCGCCGACCCTGTCGGCGTGTGTGAGGGGCTTTTCCGTTCGAGCCGTCATCTCCGTCATTCTTTGTACTCGTCGTCTCTGTCCTTCCCTTTCCCTGGGAGACCTCTTCCCCTGGGCTCCAGCCAAGCCGACCTTGAGCAACCTCGTAATTGAGTCGAAGGGAAGCCCCTTCCCTTTGATCCCTCCCCCGCCGGGAGGGGGGGGAGGGAGTCCGATCCCTCCCCCGCCGGGACGACCCCCCCCCCGGGTCAGATACGACGCCCCCCCCTGGGACTCCTCTTCCCCTGGGCTCCAGCCAAGCCGACCTTGAGCAACCTCGTAATTGAGTCGAAGGGAAGCCCCTTCCCTTTGATCCCTCCCCCGCCGGGAGGGGGGGGGGGGTAGCGACCCCCCCCCCGGGTCAGATACGACGCCCCCCCCTGGGACTCCTCTTCCCCTGGGCTCCAGCCAAGCCGACCTTGAGCAACCTCGTAATTGAGTCGAAGGGAAGCCCCTTCCCTTTGATCCCTCCCCCGCCGGGAGGGGGGGGGGGCGACCCCCCCCCCCCGGGTCAGATACGACGCCCCCCCCTGGGACTCCTCTTCCCCTGGGCTCCAGCCAAGCCGACCTTGAGCAACCTCGTAATTGAGTCGAAGGGAAGCCCCTTCCCTTTGATCCCTCCCCCGCCGGGAGGGGGGGGGGGGTGCGACCCCCCCCCCGGGTCAGATACGACGCCCCCCCCTGGGACTCCTCTTCCCCTGGGCTCCAGCCAAGCCGACCTTGAGCAACCTCGTAATTGAGTCGAAGGGAAGCCCCTTCCCTTTGATCCCTCCCCCGCCGGGAGGGGGGGGGGGTAGCGACCCCCCCCCCGGGTCAGATACGACGCCCCCCCCTGGGACTCCTCTTCCCCTGGGCTCCAGCCAAGCCGACCTTGAGCAACCTCGTAATTGAGTCGAAGGGAAGCCCCTTCCCTTTGATCCCTCCCCCGCCGGGAGGGGGGGGGGGGTAGCGACCCCCCCCCCGAGTCAGATACGACGCCCCCCCCCCGTACCGACCTTGAGCAACGTCGTCATTGAGTCGAAGGGAAGCCCCTTCCCTTTCCCTTCCCCGACGGGGGGGGGAGAGGAGGTCCCGGGGGGGGTCCCGGGGGAGTCCCGGGGAAGTCCCGGGTCAGATACGACACCTCCCTCCCCCACCTTCTCGTCCTTCTCCCCGTTCCCCCAAACCATCCCACAGCCCGTGCCTCTTGCTGCGCATTGCGAACAGGGTCGGCGGCACCGGCCGTCAGGCCTTCGCAATCAAAACGGGGAGAATGGAAGACACGCCCCCCCCCCCCCCCCCGCCGCCCCAATTTCCGCGCGCTTCCCACATTGTGCGCAAACGTCACCCCCACGAGAAAGCAGGGGCTGGAGCGGAGATTGACCTGCGGGCGACGGGGCGCGAAAGACCGTGCTGGCGGACGGCTCTGGGCCTGGATGACAGGCTAGGCGCCAACGGGACGGTGGGTGCGATGAGGCAGAGCGTCTCAAAAAAATTGCCCTCGTGCTCTGACGCAATCAGGCCGAACCAGAGCAACGACCGCCAGCCAGAACTGCCATCATAGCCCCGAGGGTATGCACATTGACAGAAGGGGCGCGCCCCCAGAATTCTCAAGTGAGGTCCAACTTGGTCATGTCTGCCCGAAGCGTGGCCCGGCAGAAAGAACGTGCGTGTGCCCGTACAAAGCAATCTGGGTTTGAAGCGCAGCTGCTTAACCGTGGGTTTGGTAATCCTCATGTGTATATGCCTTCGTTCGGATGTTTGACACAACATGCTCTCACAAACAATGCTTGCACCCAGGGTGCGCTCTTGGTGTGCGATGCCAGCCCGATCGTGCGAGGCCGAAGCGAAGCGTTACAGGTGGCCAAACTTGTTCGGGCGTTTCGCGAAGGCCCCCGGGGTGTCGCCAGGGAAGGTGGCCCTGACATTTCCTATTGATTCCTGGGCGGCGTACCTACCATTTGCAGGAATGGGGGGGCACGGGAAAACCAAGACCAGATTCCCCGCGGGGCGCACCACGGCTTACCAAACGGGGATAAGGAAAGTAGGGGACTTTGTTACATGGCGCCAAATGGGTTCAGCCGCTCCGCGGCTCGCCGCCCGCAACTGGAAGACGCCGCCGGCCCCCCCCGGCCCGGTCCGACGAGAGATGCGCGCGCGCTTCGTGGGAACCCTCGCAACCAGGGGGCCCAAAACAGTCAGCCAGCCCAGCCGTGCACTCGGGGGGGGGGCCTGCACGCGAGCCTGGTGCAGAGGCAACCCTTAAAGAAAAAACGCAGCGAGGGTTGCCGGCCTTCCGCCAACAAGAACCTACCGAGGAATAACCCCAGCACGGTGGCGGGAAGGGCCGCAGGCCACAAGGCTCCCTGTCTGTCTCTGCTACGACTCCCTAGGCCCACATGGGGAACATCTCCTTCGCCTTCTCCTGCTTCCTTCCATCTTAATCCCCCTCCTCCTCCTCCTCTTCCTCCTCCTCCTCCTCCTCCTCCTCGTATTCGTCGTCGTCGTCTTCAGGGTCGGCGGCACCGGCCGTAAGGCCTTAGCAATAACTCACATCCGATGCACGGGGGCGGGATAAATAAACCGAAAGCAACTTGGAATCCATGGCGGGCATGTCGCACAACCGCGAATATGATGAAATTGACTTGCGCCGCGAACTGGTATCGCAGACCGCAGCTTCAGGTAAATACGGCAGGTCACCTTCGTGAAATACCGACGAATGAAGGTGTGGCCAATGCGCCTTTTTCTCTGTGCTTGACAAATTGTGTGCCTGCGCTGGAAACCACCGCTTCGCACGTTGCAGGCGAGGGCGCACGTGCGTGCCGCGCCCGTACTTACGCGTGGTCTGCGCGCGTGCGCTCGCGTCCGTGGAGCTCCGAGACAGCAAGGCCGACCCTCCTCAGATCGGGGACGCGCTGACCAAATTCAGCGAAGACCCGGGTCAACTTAAGCCATGTCGTGAACCCCGGTCGGCCGCATAGCAGTTCCCAATCCTGGGTCAGTGGATGGAGGGGGGGGTTCGGCTCCACGTGGCTTCCAGGCCCGTGTCAGCCAGAAGGGATCAGAAAGGATTGGTTGACCCTCTGAGCGTTGACCTGCACCATGTGCGCCCCGATCGGACACGTCTCCTCCCGTCCGTGCCCCTCCCGCCTGGCTGCGTGAACGGCGAGGGCGTGGCCGCAGAGGTCATCGGCTGGGCGCTCTCCGGCGGAGGCTCAGCGGGGGGTGCCTGGGAGCGGCTGCAATCCACGCTTTGCTGCAGGAGTGAACATTTGGCCGCGGCCCTTGAGGGGCGCTGGGTCTGTGTCCGAGCGACGCTTCAGCGGGAAAGGGGTGTTGAATGTGTACCAACGGGGGAAGGCCTTTGACGCCAGATCTCCCCCCGGCGAATTCCGCACAAGTGGCGTGCAACACTGGCCAGGACGACCCACGGTGGCTCCAAGATGGCCCCAGTACGATCCAGGAATGCTCCAAGTCGGCTCTAAGATGGGCCAGTATGCCTCCAACGTAGGTCATGACTTTTGAATATGTCCCAGAAATGATCCAAGATGGCCTTCAAGGGCCCCGACGGGGACCATCATCACCTTTTAATTACCTAACAGCGTTTGCTGATAGGTTTCTAGTAGGCTCAGAAGAGAGCATCATGACTCCTCAAGGGGGTCTGGGCGGGTGCCGGGGAGGAGAACCGGGAATCGTTTTTCGCCAACAGTCACACACTTCGTGCTCTTCGACCTCCCAGAACTCCATTCCCGGGCCACATTCTGGAGAACCGGGAACAGAGCCGGGCTCGCTTTTCGCCAACAGTCACACACTTCGTGCTCTTCGACCTCCCAGAACTCCACTCCCGGGCCACATTCTGGAGAACCGGGAACAGAGCCGGGCTCATTTTTCGTCAACAATCACACACTTCGTGCTCTTCGACCTCCCAGAACTCCATTCCCGGGCTACATTTTGAGTGCCCGGAGCCAACTGTAGGCCACTTCGTGCTCTTCGAGTTCCCAGAACTCCATTCCCGGGCCACATTTTGGATGCCCGGAGCCAACTGTAGGCCACTTCGTGCTCTTCAGTTCCCAGAACTCCATTCCTGGGCATGATTTTGAATGCCCGGAGCCAACTGTAGGCCACTTCGTGTTCTTCTAGTTCCCAGAACTCCATTCCTGGGCCACATTTTGAATGCTGAGGCAGGCTGATGCTGCGGCCGAGGCAGGCTGAGGCTGAGGCAGGCTGAGGCTGAGGCCGAGGCTGAAGGCAGACTGAGGCTGAGGCTGAAGCAGACTGAGGCTGAGGCTGAGGCAGGCTGAGGCTGAGGCTGAGCAGGCTGATGCTGAGGCAGGCTGAGGCTGAGGCTGAGGCTGATGCAGGCTGAGGCTGAGGCAGGCTGAGGCTGAGGCCGAGGCTGAAGGCAGACTGAGGCTGAGGCTGAAGCAGGCTGAGGCAGGCTGAGGCTGAGGCAGGCTGAGGCTGAGGCTGAGGCAGGCTGAGGCTGAGGCTGTGACTGCGACTGCCGTTGCCGCTGCGACTGTCATCGCGAATGCGACTACGACTGCGAGAACAGCAGAATTCTACAACTGGATTTCCATCTGAATCTTAAGGGGAATGCTTTCAAATATGCTTCTACATATCGCTGTTAGGTTGCTTTGCCGGGATAATTTTTATGGTCTTAATTCGCCACGTTGGAAATAACCACAGGGACAGCCGAATATGTCCCTCGAGAGCCCCGAAAAGCTACTACAGAGCTCCCAAATTCCCCAAGACGCCCCCGACACGGCGCAAGATGCGCCCAATATGCCTCCCAGACGGCCGGAGCCACCCAGGGGTCTCCATCACAAAAAGCCCGTATCTATACATATTCTATAACCTTTCCAGTCTTCTTTGCTTTCTCCGCTCCTGCTGAGCCTGACAGATGGTCTCGAGGAGGGCCCAAGACGACGCAGGAGAGCCCAGAATTGAATCGACAAGTCGAATCGGCGATCGAAGTGAATCGGATCGGCGGAAATCGGCAGCCAAGTCAGGAAACATCGAATCGGTAGACATCGGCAGGCTAGTAGGCCTCCATTGAGAAGTCGCATCCAATATCGGAATCGAAATGAGCCCTGCGACGCGAGAGAGCCCATCAAAGACACACTGGGATCTCAAGATAGCTGCAAGAGGACTTCCATAGAGCCCCCGAACATATCCGATGTACCCTAATATGACGTCCTCCAAAACGAACGCATATTGCTGACATGTCTCCACAATGGCCCCTCATGGCCTCTGTTGTGGCCGAAGATACTATGACGCACATCGAAGACGACCCAGACGGCGTCAAAAGAGGCCAACACGAAGTAAGCACATAGTATTCCTATGTAGTGATAGTCATCCTGCCTGTTTGGCTACAGAACAATGCTTTGAGGGCCCTTCAGATGACCCGCAGAAAGGCCCAAAATGCCTCAACATCGGCTGAAACGTGTGAAACAAACGTGTGGCTTGCCGGCGAAATTTGAAGGGCGCGGCCGGAATGAGCCGCAGGGGGCATATATGGAGACCCGACAGCGAAGGAGATGGTTGGCACTGGCGTCTAACCACGGACGGTAGTGGCAGCTCCAGCAAGCGGCTCGTAGAGCCCTCTGGCAGTTCCCACACCTATGGGGCGGTTTGAACCAGCGCCCAGCGATTTCGAAAGTTTGCTATAGCCTTGGCTGGGCAGACGTGGACTTCCCCACTCATCTGGCTGAGTTAGCGGGCGCGTAGACTGGAAAGGAAACGTTAATTCCCTTCCCAGAGAGCCCCTTGGACCTGAGACCCCCAATAACTACTTTGCACTCTTGCAGCCAAATGCTCGTTCTCGGCCGTGGATGCAAGCTAGGGGCTCGATCACCAGTTTGGATACATCAGCTCCCCTGGAAAGTCATCGGCAAGGAGCAGCAGATGGGGACGAACAGATTTCTGCCCCCCGTTTCCTGCGGCCGCGAACCTTGATGCTACCGATCGCCCAAGACCGCTGCCGGCGTAATGCTTCCTCCTCTTCGGTCCCCGCAGTGGTACAGAGCGACTAGAGCCGTTCGGAACTCGGGGGGTCGACATTGAAGCAACGCAAGCAGACGAATACAAAGACGCTGGCTCGAAGTGCACGGCACGGCCTCGATCCGAAGCCGTCCTGCTGCTGCACCATGTCCACTCGGGAAACATAGGGGGACCCTGGCTGCCCACGGGTGCACCCTCGCCGCCCGCCCGCTCGGCTCGATCGCACTAAGACACTAAGAACGGTTGCCCGTGCGACTGTCAGCACGGCATCGCTTGTTGCCCGTGCGAACGACACCGATAGTGGAGCGGCCCACGTCCAAAGTTACATAATCTCTGGTAGGGAAGGCTCCAGGACATGAGGCGCCAACACTGCAGATGGACGGGGAAAAGGGTCTGAGCGGAGAGGGGGCGCTGGGCGGGGGTGAGGGCCGGAGATCGGGGGCAACGCTTGAGAGGGAAGAGAGGGAGGAGGGGGGCATTGGGGAGGCCTTTCGAAAGTGCGGAGAGAGGTCGCGATCGGAAGGAGGGAGTGAGGAGGGCGAATGGGACGGGAGGGGCAGACGGGGATTGGGTGGGCAGGGAGGTGACAGGATACGACACTCCAGCTGCAGCGGCCGCAATAAAAGATGGCCTCCTCGCAGGATTCATCCCCGTCGTCGCCGCTCGCAGAAGGACCCAGATCCAGGCCGCAAGCAGCTGCCCAAAGACGCACCTGCAACGGTTGCCATTCATACTCCCGTCGCTCTTGTCCCTTCCATCTCTTTGTCTCCACCTCAATTCCGCCTTCCCTTATCAATATTTCCCTCCATATCTTCCCCCCTCGCCTCTTCCCTCCACACATGCTCGCCTCCGTTACTCTTTCCTTGCCTCATCTTCTCCCTTTGTCGTCATGGTCCTCCTCTTCCACATCCTTCCCAGCCTCTGCTGCTCCTCTCCCACTTCTACTTCCGCGCGCGCTCCCGCTGCTGTTGCCCCACCACGCCCGTCCCCCCTCCCCCCCCCGCCTCCGCTCTGCGGTTCCGCGCCGAACTCCTGCCCCCTGTCGCGCCTCCTCCTCCTCCTCCTGATCCTCCTCCTCCTCCAAGCGGACGTGAGAGGGCTGGGCAATCCGCCACAACGCCGTATCTCGCCTTTTGTTATGTTTCTTCCCAACCATCCTGTGGTATTGGGTCATCGTTTTGAAGAAACAGTGCCCCGCGTTCCTTCTTTCTTTCCTTCCTCTCCTCCTCCCCTTCCTCCCCCTCCTTCCTCCCGCGCCCACTTCGGCACACCCCTCACACGGTTCGTGGCCCCATATAACGCTCCACCGAAAGCCCCAATGGCTGCGTTCACATGCGTCCCGCGCCCATTTCGGCACACCGCTCACGCGTTCCGTGGCCCCGCAGAGAGCATGGCTGCGTTCACATGCGTCCCACGCCCATTTCGGCACACCGTCACACTGTTTGTGGCCCCATTGGGCGCTCCACCGAAGGCCCAAGATGCTGCGTTCACATGCGTCCCGCGCCCGTTTCGGCACACCCTTCACGCGGATCGTGGCCCCTCGGGGAGCTCCACCGAAGGCCACAATGAATGCATTCACATGCGTCCCGCGCCCTCTTCGGCACACCCCTCACGCGGTTCGTTGCCCCGTATAGAGCTCCACCGAAGGCCCAAAGGGCTGCGTTCACATGCTTCCCGCGCCCATTTCGGCACACCCCTCGCACAGTTCGTGGCCCCATAGGGAGCTCCACCGAAAGCCCCAATGGCTGCGTTCACATGCGTCCCACGCCCATTTCGGCACACCCATCACACGGTTCGTGGGTCCTTAAGGAGCTCTATTGAAGGCCCCAGTGGCTGCGTTCACATGCGTCCCGCGCCCATTTCGGCACACCCATCACACGGTTCGTGGGTCCTTAAGGAGCTCTTTTGAAGGCCCCAGTGGCTGCGTTCACATGCGTCCCGTGCCCATTTCGGCACATCCCTCACGCGTTCCGTGGCTCCATGGGGAACTCCACCGAACGCCCCTGTGTCCCGCGCCAACTTCGGCACACCCCTCACATGGTTCGTGGCCCCATAAGGAAGGACTCTATCGAAAGCTCCAATGGCTGCGTTCACATGCGTCCCGCGCCCATTTCGGCACACACCTCATGCGTTCCGTGGCTCCATAGGGAATTCCACCGAAGGCCCCAATGACTTCGTTCACATTCGTCCCACGCCCATTTCGGCACACCCCTCACACGGTTCGTGGCCCCATGAGGAGCTCTGTTGAAGGCCTCAGTGGCTGCGTTCACATGCGTCCCGTGCCCATTTCGGCACACCCCTCACGCGTTCCGTGGCTCCATAGGAAGCTCCACCGAAAGCCCCAATGGCTGCGTTCACATGCGTCCCGCGCCTTTTTCGGCACACCGTCACGGTTTGCGGCCCCATAGGGAGCTCACCCAGAGGTCCCAGTGGCTGCGTTCACATGTGTCACACGCCAATTTCGGCAAACCCCTCACAATTTTCGTGGCACCAGAGGGGGCTCCACCGAAGGCTCCAGTTGCTGATTCCCTGACACGTTTCGGGGCCCCATCGGGAACTTCACCGAAGGCGCCAGTTGCCGATTCCATGTCTTGGAGGTGTTATACTTTGGGTGTCCTCCAGCAGCTGCGGCTCGCCGAGAGCCTTCCAAGGGCGCCCAAAAAGTCGTCCCGAATGATCGCCGGCTCCCGGAGGTCCGAGCTATTCGAGCTCTTGCCTGAAAACTAGCGGGGACGTTCGAGGCCTACCGGGGGCCTCGGTGGTCTTCGGGGGTGCATCTGGAGACCTGTGTACTCTTCCGTCGGAGGCCACTGGCGTTCGGCCATTGTCGTCGTCGTCGTCGTCGTCGTCGTCATCGTCGTCGTCGTCGTCGTCGGCCTAGTTATCCTTGTCGTCGTTGTCTTCGTCGATTTTTGTGGCTCATCCAAATAAGGCCCCCTGCCGCTTCCGAGCCATCGTCGTCCAGGGGTCGGGGAGGCACCGGGCCGACTTTGCGCGCCCCCCTCCTTCGTCTCATCTCCCTGGCGATACTCGCAACTACATATGGTTGGGTCCTTCGTCAGGCTATGCTTCCCCCTCTTGACGTGATGCTTTTCCTGCCGAGAGAAGGGCTTGAACCCAAACGCCAGCGGCGACGTGAATGCAGTCAAACTGACTGCTGCTAACATTGTGGGCGTGCTGGCCCATCCGCTATCAATGCGGCCTTCCATGTAACTGTTCGGGAGCGCGACAACCGTACACCACTACTGCGTGCCACACTGCAAAGCTTGCACAATATACGCTCTGGATGCCTCCCCCCGCTTTGTGGGATAAGTTATGTCTCAGACGGCTGGGGGTTCCCACAGCTTGCGTCGATGTCTGTATTTTGCACGTGGGCTCGACACCCCTCCATGGCTGCCAACTCATCTTGGGCCAAACAACAGGGAGCGCCGCATGCAAGAAAGCAGCCAGGCGATGCCAAAGCTCCAGCAGTCGCCTCCTCCCCTCGTCCGAGGGTCTGTCCCTACTCTCACCAGCCACTCAAGAACACTCCCGCCTGGTCGAGTTGGGCTCCGTGGCCCAACCAGGCTCACGTGTCGCCGCCTGCCAGCGTGTGTGGCGAGGTTCAGTGGTGCGGAACTGCCTGCGACCACCCAATCATAGGGACCCTCTTGGCCGCCGCCTTGGGCCCAACATGGCCCGCAAGGTCTCCCCAGGGCACTCCTAGGCATGAGCCTCTCGATCAGGTGCGGTGCTGCCCGCGCCCTGCTGGATCGCATGCGCCAGCGCGGTGCTACCCGCAGCCATCGCATCAAACTCGTTACTGTCAGGATGCCGTGCGGTGCTACCCGCGACCGTCACATCAAAATCATTATCTTCTGGACGCGGTGCGGTGCTACCCGCGACTGTGAACCAGAGTGACCGCGCGATCCCCTCCACGGCCACCAGGGCCAGGGTGGCATGCAGCCGGCGCGCGCTTTCTCCACATCTATGGTGTCTTAGGCGCCTGTAAGCTTAATGCATACACAATATATGTACAATCGCCGCCACCAGCCCCTCTCACAGGCGGCGAAGTGGAAGTTGTCAGATCAGGGAATCCAGCCTCTCGGCCGCATGAGCCTTCATGCCGATGTCGGCCCAGTGCAGGAGCGTGTCCACGATCGCGAGTTCGAGCTCCTTGTTCCTCAGCGCCTCCTGCGCCCTCAATCCCTTGATCGCCAAATGCCGGACCTTGCAGGACCCCGTCTGGCCGCGCATGCCTCGCGTAGCCGAGCTATCTGACGCTACGGCCAAATCGCTCTCAAGGCCCATCTGGCGCAAGATCTGGCTCGTCCCAGTCGCCACCGCGCGCGCGGTGCCGTAGAACTCGGCCTCGCCGCTGGACAGCGTAATCGTCGCCTGCTTGGCCACGCTGCACTCCAGCGTGTGGTCCCCTTACCGCTCCACCGTGCATGAAATTGACTTCCTTGTCAGCTTGTCGGCTGCCCAATCCGCGTCCGTGTGCGCGTGCAGGCCGCCAGGCTCCTTCTGGTACCTGAAGATGCACACCTCCGTCGGGAACTTGAGCACGTGGCGCGTCACGCGCGGCAGCCGCAGACCGCGCGACACCTTCGGCATGCTCATCCCGGCCATCGCCTGCGACGTAGCGAACTGGATGGTCGGTCGGTCGATGGACAGGTACAGCGCGGTGCCGGCGCCATGCTTGAAGCTTGTGGCGGCCTCGCCCTCCAGGTCGCCTGCCGGCCGCAGTCGATTTGGATGATGGCGTCGGTGCACCTTTCGAATCCTTGTTGAGGCCTACCGGAGCCAAGAGATCTTCCCCATGCTTCGGATTCGCCTCCCATTCGAAACCTTCAGATGTCCAGCGGATTGTCCTCCCTAGGTGCTGCCCTTCGGCTACCTCGCCGCCGTGCGCCAGCGGTCCGATCCGAGGCGAAATCATGGTATCGAAGTTCTTCGTCAACACCCGGTCGAACTCATCGAAGGCGGCAGCCGTGCCTGCCGTCAAGAAGTCGTCGCCGTGGCAGCACGTCGTGTACCCGAAGTTGTCAGAGACGAACATCATGGGTACCACTGCGACCTGCCTGGCGCCCTCGAGTTGCATGGTGTCGGTGGCTTCACTGCGCCGGCGCATGCTGGCCTCGTGCGTCCCATGCGCGGCCTTCAGAACTCGCCAGCCCACGCCGGGGGGCGCCGGGCCGCGAGGCGGAATGACCACCACCTTCCCCGACCCAGGCGGCGTGGAAGAACACCGGCGCTGGTCTTCGTGGCCGCCGTGCTCGCGATCACCCTGGGCGCCTCGATCGGCGGCGTGGCCCGGGTCACGTCCTCCTGGTTGCGCGTGTTCACCTGCGTCGCCACGAGCCTGCGCCGCGCCGCCCTCTCGTCCTCGGCGGTCGGCCTCTCGTGTTCCAACCACTTGGAGTAGGCGATTTCCAGGCCGAGCAAACGAGCATCCGCGATGGAGATCGGCCCAGCGACGCCGAGCCTGTTTATGTTCGCGAGCTCGTGGACACGCCCCTCGTAGACCTTCTGCTATTTCCAACGCCCTGCCGCTCTTGACCCCGTAGTACCTCCGCCCCCGGTCGACGATTTGCCAGGTCAGCTCCGAGTCATGCAATTCGGCTGCGGCAAGAAGTCCAGAGCCCAGAAGGTACGTCCAAATTGGGGTACTCAGGATCCTCCGCGTGGACGGTCGGTATGCAGGCCGAGATCTCCTGCTTCTTCCGGCCGTCGGTGGTCGCGCCCACCTGCGTGCCATCAGATGGGGAGGCGTCGGGGGAGGGATCGGATCCACTCGCATCCCCAATCAGCTCCATGGGGGCGGCGACGCCCGCCGCCGACGCCGACGTTGGCCTGGCAGCGCCTGCCGCCGAACCGCTTGCCGCTCCTGCTCCGGGTTGCGGCCCCGTCGGCGCGGTGCAACCCGCAGACGCGGCCTCCGCCTTGGCTTGAGACTCCCTGTCCATGATTTCCTGGAAGCGTTCCTGGCACTGATGCGAGTGCGCCTTCGCGTGTCCAGAGCGCGCTGGGTATCCTGTAGCGCCGCCGTGCTGGATCTGCCTGTCCAGCGTGATGTAGACGCCCCCCGGAGCAGCCGCCTTCGGCGCATCGCCAGCGCCCTTGGGATTCTCGGGCTCGCCGACCATGGAATTCAAGATCTTCCTGTTCCTGCGCGCGCTTTCTGGGCGCCTCCAGATGGACAAGCATCGGCGCGCCCCGGCGGGAGTGCCGATGTAGTGCTCGTCGGAGGAGGCCAAGCTCTTGCCGAGCCGCGCGCCCAGCATCCACCTGTCGTCAAGCTTGGGCATGTCGGGCGCCTTCTGCGAGTCCCGGTAGTAGACGGACTCGCCGAATTCCGAAACCTGGCTTCGGTACGGTCGATCACGAAGCCTCTCGTAGGTTGTCCCGCCGCCCGCTGTGACCTGGAAGTGGGTCAGAGGCCAAGTTGCGTGCCTGGCCATGCACGGCGAGATCTTGTGCTCCAAGTCCACCGTCAGGTTCGAGCAGTGCTCGAAGCGCGACCGGAGCGCCCGCTTCTCGACCTCGTACTTCGCCCGCTCGATGCCTCCATCGCTGGCGCTGGACCTCTTGGGGGTGTTCAGCAGCGCTGTCTCGTGGGTGCGGCTGTCCCGGACGTTGTCGGCCAGCGTCTTGACGGCGTTCTCCTGGTCGCAGAGAATCGCCGCGTGTGTCGGGCCCGTGCATTCCAGAGCCTCGATGACGACGGCCAGCGCAGTGCGTGCGGATCGCCGCCCTTGACCACCGTCGCTGCGAAGACGGCGCCGCTGAGCATGTCCAGGCAGTTGGGCGCGGACTTTAACCGCTGCGGGTCGATGCGCATCACTGGAAATGAATAATCCATGGCGAACTTGGTCTCGCCCTTAGTTGCGTCAGGGCGCGGGTGATGGGCGTCGTCGCTGGCCTTGTCCATTGCGCAGTGGGGGCACCGCGAGCGGAAAAGGCAAGTGAGTGATCTGGTGGGTGTCGAGTTCGAGCTTCGATACCTCTGGAGGGGGCTTCTCGCGCGAAATTGCACGGCTCTCCTCGCGCTCCAGCAGCGGCGCCGGGGCGGAGCAGTCCGCGCCCGGACCGCCGCCGGATGCCCTTGCCTGCTGTTCTGGCTCCTGGGCTGGGGCCTGCGCTGGCATCTGCTGAACCTCAGCCGCTGGTCGCGCGGGACACGAGGGCGTCGAGTCCTTCAGCTCCCCCACCTGGCACGGCAGCCAGTGCGCCCCTCGGTGCTTCTCCAAGTTCACCGCGCGAGGAAGTTGGGGAAGCCGATGGAGGTCTGTAGACGCCTCGCTGGGCAGCATCACCTGGTGACCTGGGCCGAAGAGGAACCAATTGCCCTGCCCTGCCGCTTCCCCGACGCGCGCGATCGGGAACTCCTCCTCGGCTTCGTTGTGCCTCGCCGTGACCTGCTGGCCGTCGTGCAGACCGAAGTGGGACTGCTTCCCACTGTCGCCGACGACTGGGTCGTCCGTCGCCGTCGCGAGCCGCGCTAGGCCCACATGTCGAATCGTCGTCGGCTGCTGGCTGGAATCCTCATAGTAACGCGCTCGCCCCAGCACGGGTGTCGATCATGAGGTGCGTCATGTCCGTCCGTGTCGCTGCAAGCGCTGGGGCGGGTCCGTCTGTGTCGCGGCCTGGCGTGGCCGGTGCGCTGCCGTTGCCTGTTGCGGCAGTGGGCAGAGCTCCTAGAGGATGAAGGTCGACGGGTGCTCGCTCTGCAGCAACGCCGACAATGGGCTGTCCTGGCGGTAGTTGGACCGTCGGCGGCGGCGGAACAACTGAGGGGGGTTCACTCGGTCCTCCTGGAGTCGCGGCGAGCGGCCCCCGCCTGTTCTCCGCTGCGGCGAGGTCTCGCTGTCTCTTCCTGCGCTCGGCCCTCACGTGGGCCTTCTTCCTGCAGAAGAAGCGCTCCTTCTCGCTGTTCGAGTTCTTCCCGCCGTCCGCCTTGCCTCCCTTGTCTTTGAATCCCACCAGCCCTTTGGGCGTGAGTGGTTTAGCGAGCTCTCTCTGTTCTCAACCCCCCTTCTTCCCCTTCGGGGAGGGGTTTACCCCTCCCCCTACCCCCTCCCCCTGGACCTGGAGAGGGGGTTTCGCGGGTGGTCAGAGGGTCCTTTTTCTATCCCTGGGAGGGCTAAAATTCGACACCCCTCACGAGGATCGTGGCCCCGACAGGGGTACTGACAAAAATGCTCGCCCCATCTGTGATCGATCGCCCCAAAGATGGCCCCAACAGGCCCCCAAGACGCTCCAAGAGGCGCCCAAGAGGGCCCCCGGACGCTCCCAAGAGCCTCAAAAGAGAGCCCAAGAGGCCCCAAAACGGCCTCCAAGATGCCTCCCTATTGCCTGGGATACGACTACTCGTCCTACTACTACTACTACTACTACTACTACTACTACTACTACTACTACTACTACTACTACTACTACTACTACTACTACTACTACTACTACTACTACTACTACTACTACTACTACTACTACTACTACTACTACTACTACTACTACTACTACTACTACTACTACTACTACTACTACTACTACTACTGCTACTACTACTACTACTACTACTACTACTACTACTACTACTACTACTACTACTACTACTACTACTACTACTACTACTACTACTACTACTACTACTACTACTACTACTACTACTACTACTACTACTACTACGTACTACTACTACTACTACTACTACTACTACTACTACTACTACTAACTGGTACTACTACTACTACTACTACTACTACTACTACTACTACTACTACTACTACTACTACTACTACTACTACTACTACTACTACTACTACTACTACTACTACTACTACTATACTACTACTACTACTACTACTACTACTACTACTACTACTACTACTACCACTACTACTACTACTACTACTACTACTACTACTACTAATACTACTTCATCTGCTGCTGCTACTACCACTACTACTACTACTACTACTACTACTACTACTACTACTACTACTACTACTACTACTACTACTACTACTACTACTACTACTACTACTACTACTACTACTACTACTACTACTACTACTACTACTACTACTACTACTACTACTACTACTACTACTACTACTACTACTACTACTACTACTACTACTACTACTACTACTACTACTACTACTACTACTACTACTACTACTACTACTACTACTACTACTACTACTACTACTACTACTACTACTACTACTACTACTACTACTACTACTACTACTAGTCCTACTACGAGGGGACCGAACGATTCGCACCAGGACGAGGTGCCCGAACGCCTCACACCACGAGGAGCCCGAACGACTCACACCAGGACGAGGGGCCCGAACGACTCACACCACGAAGAGCCCGAACGACTCACACCAGGAGGAGGGGCCCGAACTCACACCAGGACGAGGGCCCGAACGACTCACACCACGAGGAGCCCGAACGACTCACACCACGACGGACACCACGAGGAGCCCGAACGACTCACACCAGGACGAGGGGCCCGAACGACTCACACCACGAAGAGCCCGAACGACTCACACCAGAAGGAGGGGCCCGAACGACTCACACCAGGACGAGGCGCCCGAACGACTCACACCACGAGGAGCCCGAACGACTCACACCAGGACGAGGGCCCCGAACGACTCACACCAGGAGGAGGGGCCCGAACGACTCACACGAGGACGAGGGGCCCGAACAACTCACACCACGAGAAGCCCGAACGACTCACACCAGGACGAAGAGCCCGAACGACTCAAACCACGAAGAGCCCGAACGACTCACACCAGGAAGAAGGGCCCGAACGACTCACACCAGGACGAGAGGCCCGAACGACTCAAACCACGAGGAGCCCGAACGGCTCACACCAGGACGAGGGGCCCGAACGACTCACACCACGAGGAGCCCGAACGACTCACACCAGGAAGAGGGGCCCGAAGGACTCACACAAGGACGATGGGGCCGAACGACTCACCCCACGAGGGGCCCCAACGACTCCCACCAGTCGTCGTCGTCGTCGTCGTCGTCGTCGTCGTCGTCGCCGCCTTCGTCGTCGTCGTCGTCGTCGACGTCGTCGTCGTCGTCGTCGTCGCGGTTGTGGTCGTCGTCGTCGTCGCGGTCGATATCGTCGTCGTCGTCGGGTGCGTCGTCGTTGTTAGGATCATCGCTGTGGTCGTCGTCTCCGCTAAATCCCTCTTGCCTCCCACCGCTTTCTCTCCCTCCTCCTCCGCCTCGTCCTTCTCCCGCTCCCACCACAAGGAGGATGTACAAGGAGGCGGGAGGAAGGAGGAACAGGGGAGATATGCGGGGGCAGGCGGAAACACGCCTGAAAAACACGACTGTCGGCATGCTTCGCAAGAGTTGCTGTTTTGAGATGGGCTGGTGGGGATACGCGAAGCGTGAAGAATTTCTCGCCGGCGCCCTTCGGGTCCTTGCCCCCTCTCGGCCTCCCGCCTCTGAGGTCCTTGCCTCCCCGCGGGGTGGCTCCGAGCTGTGTGGGCGTCTGCTGCGAGTCGACGTGCTGCTGGGTCCAGGTGATCTCCAAGATCTCCTCGCGCATCTTGGGCCGCGTCTCGAGGCTGGCGCTGTTCCGAAGCAAATGCTCCTTGGCACTGGCATCCTCCGTGCCCAGCAGAACCGCGCCGACCTTTTCGTCGTCGGCGATCTTCTTGTTGGACTGGCTCTCGTAGTCCCGCGCGAGGCGCTCGCAGGCTGTGAGAGCGCTGGGAATGTCTCCCGTGGATTTGTAGGCCATCGCCTGCGTCCTCAGCCTCGGCCCCCACTCCAGCCTGAACGGGCGCCACGCCTCGAGGCCTCCGTTCACCTCCGCGTTGTGGCTCTTGTCCAGTGCCGACCCGGACGTGATAGTCACGAGGATGTCGTGCAGCTGCGTGCTGAGCCTAGTGACGTCTGGCTCCATAGTGGCGTTCCGTATCGTGACCTGCGACTGTTCTGCCTCCATCAGCTTGCCCTGGTACCTGTGGTCCACGGCGCCGAGGTAGGACTTCATCTTGGAGCTCCAGTCCGCGAAATTGGTCACGTCGCCCACGGACTCGCCCAGCTCGCCGATCACTCTGGCGTCGACCATCCTGCTCGGAAGTGGCGCCAGTTCCGCGCGAGGCGCCTGCCTGGCCTGCTGGAGCTCCTCCTGGAGCTGCTGCCTCTCGCCGTGGAGCTGCTGCGCGACGTTCTCCTGTGCTTGCAGCCGGGCGTTCAGCGCCTCCATCGAAGTGCGCGGCTCCTCCATGGTTCCGGGGTGCGGGGCTACCCGCTACCTGGCGCTGTGTCGCGCGCCTCGGCGCGGGGCCAACCGCGGCCCGAGGCGCTGGCCTACGCGCCGAACCGTAGCGCGCGGGCCGCGGCCCTGCTGGTTGATCGCCGTCCGCGCTTCGTGGGCGTTGCGGGGGCCAGGGTTGCCGAGCTGCGTGTTACCGCGGCCCCGCTACCGCCACGTGGTGCTTTTCCTGCCGAGAGAGGGGCTTATCGATGCGGCGTTCCGCGAAATTGTTGGGGAACGCGACAACCGTTCACGACTGCGGCGTGCCGCGCTGCATAGCTTTTACAACGTGCTCTCTGGATGCCTTGTCCCATTTTGTGGGATGAGTTATGTCTCAGACGGCTGGGGATTCCCATATCTTGCGTCGATGTCTGTATTATGCATATGGGTTTGACAGCTCTGGTCGTTATTGCCTTGCTTTTCTCCCAGTGCATGTTGTGTTTTTGTTCCGTATTGCATTTTGTTGTTGATATCCACATCGTAGAGAAATGCAAGCGAGACCCCCCCAAACGCATCGACCCCGGTAAGCGCGCTTTTTTTTTCCCCGCCCCCAAAAAGAGCAGCGATATCTGCGATGGGAGACCCCGTGGCCCCCCCCCCTTCCGCCTCCAGTCGGGCGCGGCCAGACCGCACCTTTCTGTGGCGACCCCCCCTGTCTTCCCAAGATGTGGGCGGATGGCTGGGGGGGCCTGCGCGCTGGGATGATCATTGGCAGGGGCGGCCTTGGTGAATTTGTTTCCGCGTGCTTAGCGGATTCGGGTTGTCTCTCCCACCTGCCTCGCGCCCGTCACTTCCCCCCCCTCTCCTTTTGCATCTCCTTGTTTCTCTCCGCCTGCGCGTGGGCGAGACAGTGCTAATGCGCACCTGGCGCGGCCCGCGCCTCCGCGTCGCGCGCGCGCCTGCAGCCGCGCGCGCGCGCCCCACGCAGCGCAATAATTCACTTGGCGTGCGCATTGCGTCATGCGCGCCAGACGCGCGAAACGCAACGTCGCTGTGATACTTCCTGTGCGCGCCACGGCGAGACCTCCGCGCGTCGGACGCGCGCGCGTCTACGCGGCGCCCACGTGCGACGCGCGCCCGCGTGCGGCCGCGGACGCATCATGCACGTATG